CTAAAAAGAAAGTACTTTTTTTTTTCACTTTATTTGCTTCCTACAGCTAAGGTTTTTATTTATTTATTTTTAAAGCAGTTGCACATTATATGTTTGATATAGTTGAAGTGCTTGGATGCAATGAGCCTTTAGTTTTTCTAATAAAGCTCACAAAAATTTATATCTAGATTTAGACTTATCTGCTGATATGTTGGTTGGCAGCTTCCATATCTAAAGAATGGAAAGAAAAAAATCTATATCAACGCATCCCTATTTTTTTTATAATCTCATGATCTTTACAATTAAACAGGCCATTTTTTGCTGCTTTAAAGGGTTAGTTCAGCCAAAAATAAAAATTAGGCTGTGTTTTACTCACCCCCGATGCATCCTAGGTGTATATGACTTTCTTCTTTCAGATGAATCCAGTCGGAGTTATATTAAAAATTGTCTTTGATCTTTCAAGCTCTATCGTTGTACTCAGCGGGTGTTGCATTCCTTCAGTCCAAAAGACGTGAAATAAAAAGCACCCTTCCACAAAAAAAAGTGTCTCACACGGCTCCCGGGGGGGTGCTTTTTATTTCACGTCTTTTGGACTGATGCATGCAACACCCGCTGAGTACAACGATAGAGCTTGAAAGATCAAAGACAATTTTTTATATAACTCCGACTGGATTCGTCTGAAGGAAGAAAGTCATATACACCTAGGATGCATCGGGGGTGAGTAAAACACAGCCTAATTTTTATTTTGGGGTGAACTAACCCTTTAAGGCTTTTTTTTTTTTTTTTGTAAATGTTTGTGTCAAATGAAATAAATCACTTTGCTACGCAATTTTACTCATGTGTTGTAGTTTTGCGGTCAAGTTTGATGGTTTTTAACTGCCACTTTTGAGGAAACAGCCTGAATTAAACATTCTGACAAAGTCATAATAACAGTTATGAACACCATTACAGTAAAGATGTCAACATGGAATGACATGGATTGACATCAAATCCGTGTTAATGGCACTAACAAATACTGAGTGACTGATAAACAGTTGATAATTTGCTGAAATGTTCACTTTGATGTCTGATGTCAGAATGTTGCGGAAGTTCAAAAGAGTCATTTTAGCAATTTAGTATCATTAAATGCTGCGGGGATATGTTTTCAGTTTTAAACATACAGAGTTTTCAATAAAAACAGAAAAATATATTTTTAAATATATTTGAAAACAAGAAGTTGATGCATCATAATGACAATGTAAAAGAAAAAATTGTTTCTCATCTCCATCCATTGTATACTATCAAACCATCAGCTGTCAAAGTTTTAGCGCATTCAAAGACTTATAGGAGTGGTTGACCACATCCTCTGATTGAGTGAGATAACTAACCCATCATAAAGTCATGTGGAGTAGAGACAACCAGCTAGTACAAACTAAAACCGACTGTAAACTCTTAATCTGTGGGACTAGCCTGCATTTGCAAGTGCATGGCATGCAGCAGTTATCGATCATGCACGCCTGTCCTCAACATTTAGTGTTAAACACAGCGTTAAAATGCAGTGGATGTCGGTACCTGTGTATCGCAGAGGTGCAGAGGCGCGTCTCTGGCTGTAATCTGAACGTAGTGCGCTCGCACTGGTCTCGCGGAGATCTGACTGCTGCTGCTTCCTCCGGCTGACCCAGTCTCAGCGCGCCCTGACGTCACAGCGCCTCTGCTGCTCTGCGCCAATCAGATGAAAGAGATCGCTGACTCTCAGGTAATGGGGGCGGGGTTATGTATGTCCTAATCGGTGTTCCTAGAATTTGATTTTATTGCTGGCATTATCTGATATCCATATTCCTCAGAACTCAAGGATGTGCTGATGGGGAAATGTGCTTAAGAAAATCTCTCTCCCTCGATCTCTTTCCGCTTATATAAAAGTACAGCTACAGTTACAACAGTGATATTGTGTAATATTCTTACAATCTAAAATAGCTATTTTCTGTTTTAAAATGTAATTTATTCCTGTGATGCAAAGCTGAATTTTCAGCATCATTACTCCAGTCTTCAGTGTCACATGATCTTTCAGAAATCATTCTAATATGCTGATTTGCTGCTCAAGAAACATTTCTTTCTTTCTTTCTTTCATTCATTATGTATTTATTTATTACACCGTCCAAACGTTTAAAAAAAAACTAACTAACTGAATTAATTAATTAATTAATTAATGAATAAATATATCCAGCAAAGATGCATTAAATTGATCTATGTATTGCTGTTATTTAAGCAGCAAAAACTGTTTGCAGCACTGACAATAATTAGAGCATTTGTTAATAATCTAGCACTAAATCAGCAGGCTATTAGAATCGCCTATATGACATACAAAAATATGCATGTCTAATCTCGTATTTGTCATTTTCATGTAGTTGCAAAGTTATAGTTGGCAATGGCATAATGTATAAAGTGGAATATCGAAATCCAATGTGTTACAATATGTGACTTCAGTCAGTTTAAATGCATTTATAGATTTTAAACTGTTCACTTCATTCACAGCACTGGTTTAAAAATGCATAACATTTTAAAACGTTGTTGCTTGTTTAACTATGGCTGATGGTTTTATTGGTCTTTGCCTGCGCCCCAAACAGTGAATAAAAACATTACGCCACCTACTGGTGAAAATATTGTTTGACTTGGGCTATACTGGTTATTAACCTACAACTCTAATCTTTATAAGACTTTCCATACTAAATATTGATTGAGAATGTTTGTAGATGTTAATTATTATGACATAAAACAGCAGTCTCTCTAATGACTAACCGTTTTTCTTACTTGGCACGTGCCGCTGCGCCTATAGAGGGCGCTGTTGTCAAACTGCGCACACATTAATCCGGAGCGTGCGGCGATAATGCGCTCAGTTGCCTGGTGACGCTGAAGCCGTGCTCGGCTGTTTCCTGTGCTCTGTGTCACCCAAAACAAGTTTGAAACAGACAAATCACAGAATAGCGCGCTTGCTTGTATTTTAACTTCTGCGGAAGGGTTTAGCATCACTCGCTATGTGATACAGAGAGCATCTTTGGACGGAGGATCATGGACAGTTACTTATTCGTGAGAGTTGTGGGGAAGGGGAGCTATGGGGAGGTGAATCTGGTCAGACACAAATCAGACCGTAAACAGGTAACAGAGTGGTGCATGCATCTGAGTTTGTGCACAGACCTGTGCATTCCTGCTAATAAGTAACACGCTGGTTTATATGTTTAACTAATTGCCGAACTGAACTAATGCCTTATTTTTAAGCATTAGTTAATAACAGACTTCGTTGTTGTTGATATTACAGCTGAGAGTTAGCCTCTTCTAACAAAATGTGTATTTACATATTTTAAGAAAAGCTTGGGGATTTTTTTTTTTAATATTCCTTGTACATAACACATTTATAGAAACTTATAATGTAAGAGGAAAATTATGAGTCTGTAGGATGCTTCACATCAGAATGATTATGTACGAATACAAATGTGTATGAAAAACAGGAATCAAATCAACCTTTTAGACATAAAGTATGTTTTAATGTTATTGATATTGTTGACTTGTTTGATCAATTACTATAAAGGCAGCTGACATCCTGCATTGTGACGTGCTCTGTAATTATTTTGAGAAACGTTTTTCTTACAATTTAAAAAAAAAAATTTGAATTATCATACATGCATTTTTATGATCTCTTATTGAGATATTACATGAAATGTTTAGTTATTTAACGAAGATTTCTGACAACGAAGGCCCGTTTAGTTGTATTGTGTAGAAGTGATTACAATTTTGGAAAATCTTAAAAGAAAAGGTTATCAGCACCTAAAACACTCTCTTTTATACAAATACGCACATTTTAAACTTGATATTGAAACGTCTGTTTCGTATGTGCTGTGCTGCATAATGAAACATAAAAAACAAAAATAAATAAATAAGAAAAAAAATAGTGTGCCTCTTTTGGTTTCTTCTTAAAAAATACTTCAATTTTTACGGATCTATCTATGCAACTTGAGTCTGTAGAATGCAGTGATTTTTATCCTTTTTGATTTTAATATTGAAAAACTAAAATGTTTAGTAACTAAAAAAACTAAACTAACTAAAAAAAGACTGTGAAACATAGTTAATTGGATTGTACTGTTTTTTTTTTTATGTAAATAGACAACGGTTTTATTCAGAGGTGTGTCTAACTGATTTATTTAAAAGTGTATCACCTGAATGTATTTTAGATTTTTTTGTCTAGTGTACATCTGAAATGTCTTTTATAACCTTTTGTTAATTGTACCTCATATAATTTATTCAGAGATTGCCATGAAAATAGCCTTGATGTTAAAAAGTGAATAAATAAATAAAAATGTTAATACTGAGCAAAAATTAAAATAATGGACATGTGATTTGGTACATATGATTGCTGATATGATCCTTCTTTGTACAACAAACATTAGAGCATCTTTTTTTTTAATAAATGTGGACATTTTCCACTAGAATTTCTGTCTTTTGTTTATGTGCAAAATTATAACACAATATATTGTGTGGTTTTGGCAGTACGTGATCAAGAAGCTGAACCTGAGAACATCCTCCAGACGCGAACGGCGAGCCGCGGAGCAGGAAGCACAGCTCCTCTCACAACTCAAGCATCCCAACATCGTCACATACCGGGAATCATGGGAAGGCGAGGACTGTCAGCTTTACATCGTGATGGGATTCTGTGAGGGAGGAGATCTTTACCACAGACTCAAACAGCAGAAGGGAGAACTGCTTCCTGAGAGACAAGTTGTGGAGTGGTTTGTTCAGATTGCCATGGCCCTCCAGGTAAGTCAATGACCATCCTTCCATCCATCTGTCCTTTCTGAGTTTCTAGCTGAATAATAAAGCTTTTGCATTTTTGCTGATCCCTAGTATTTACATGAGAAGCACATTCTGCATCGAGATCTGAAAACGCAGAATATCTTCTTGACCAAGACCGATATAATCAAAGTGGGTGATCTGGGCATCGCGCGGGTCCTGGAGAGTCAGAACGACATGGCCAGCACTCTGATCGGCACACCTTACTACATGAGTCCAGAACTGTTCTCCAACAAACCTTACAACTACAAGGTACTGCATGGACACAACTTACAACGATCATTAGTACAGCACTAGATTCAGTAGGGCTGGGTAAAAATTATCGATATCTCGATATTAATCGATTCTCATTTTTACGGAACGATATTGATTCTTAAATCCCAAGAAACGATTAGTCTAGCCTGTTTTCAGTTAATGGATGGAACATTGAAGGGCACCTCCCATCCAATATATCGCAATAAGCATTGTGCTTTTTTACTTTTAATATGAAACAAAGTCTCAGATTTCAAATTCTGTCCATTGTATTGCAGTATTCAAACAATAAATGCCGTTTTGGCGCTGTTTAATGTGGAGTGACAGATCGCTGTAGCGCCTCAGTTCAACAGACGCGGCAGCGCGAGGCGCACGTGAACTAATCATCTCCACATTAATACCAGTTTCAGCACAAAATAAACATGACTAAACATCCAAAGGTAAGTTAAAAGAAAGAGTACAACTTTACAATCCGTATCCTGTCTCATGTAATCCCTCAATCTGTGTTTCAGCTTTTTTATGTTTCAATATAACAGCTTGTAAACAATGTCACTGAACGTCAAATTTACCTCAGAAAAACATATTTGGTGACCATAAACTCATTAGTCAGATAGAAAAATAAACTGTAGAGAGGGGCATTTTGCTTAATATATGCACCATATAACATTCATTATAAATGTTACTGTTCTTCAATGTTTAGTCTATGTTTGAATAAATCCATCAAATTTTTATGACAGCCACCATTATGTTTATATATAAAAATTATTATGCAATTGTAACTTTATTATTTTAAAAACATTAAGTGTAATTTTAACAAATCAGTCCATTTTAACATTCAATATTATAGTAATGTAGTACCAACTGGCTCTCATGTATATTTTACAGCATTAGTTAAGAGATGTTTTTTCCTTGAGAAAATTTGGCATGTACTGTACCTGATATATATCCAAAATAATCGATATCGAATCGCAAGCTTGTGAATGAGAATCAAATTGTGAAATGTGTGTCAAAACCCAGCCCTAAGATTCATTATGTGTCAGTTTTAGTTAAATAACTTTTACTACTTATGATATGTCACAAAACCTGTCAAGAACATATTGAGGCTATATTTTTCATCCCAAAATTAAAAGAAAAAAAAACGGGCAGTTCTATTTTGGAATTTATATTGTGGTGTTGTTTTTATTTGACAATTAAACACATTTTCTGTACTAATTCCCAATATTTCAATGCAAATTTATTTAAATTAGAAATGTTTTGTAGCAAGTCCTTCTGAACTTTCTTTTCATCAAAGAATCCTAAAAAATGTATAATCTTGTCCACAAAAAATATTAAGCAGCACAACTGTTTTCGACATTGATAATAATAAGAAGTTTCTTGAGCAGCAAATCAGCATGTTAGAATGATTTCTGAAGGATCATGTGACACTGAAGCCTGGAGTAATGATGCTGAAAATTCAGCTTTGAAATCACAGGAATAAATTATATTTTAAAATATAGTACAATAGAAAACAGTGATTTTAAATTGCAATAATATTTCACAATATTACAGTTTTTACTGTATTTTTGCTCAAACAAACGCAGCCTTGGTGAGCATAAGAGACATTTGCTAATATCATTAAAAAAAAACTTAACTGACCTCAAACTTTTGAGTAGATTTTATGTTGCCTTAATACTATGCAATATGCTGTTTTATAGTAATGACAATTAATTAATGAGAATAAATAAAATGAGAAAAAAACTCTCAAACTGAAAATGTCTGATGATTTATTAATTTTTAGGACCAAAATCTTAATAGTCCTAAACCAGACTTTATTTTCTGTATGCAAAATTTATCCTTTTTTTTTTTTTCATTTTGGGGTGGCCTGGACTCTCTTTACCCAGATATTTTGTGTTTTAGATAAATCATTATTTATGTTTGGTTGTGTTTGCAGTCAGACGTGTGGGCCCTGGGATGTTGCGTGTATGAAATGGCAACTCTAAAACATGCTTTCAACGCAAAAGACATGAACTCTCTCGTGTATCGTATCGTTGAAGGGAAGGTACATGAATATATTCATCATCTGTTTCACTGAACTGTAAATATTTGCATGCATCAAATCTAAAGAGCTGTTCATTCAAAACATTCTTCCGACATTGTAAATGAACTTTTAATGTTCAGTTGCCCCAAATGCCGAGTAAGTACGACCCCCAATTGGGAGAACTGATCAAGCGGATGCTGTGTAAGAAACCAGAGGACAGGCCAGACGTCAAACACATTCTCCGACAGCCGTACATCAAACAGCAGATCTCCATGTTCCTGGAGGCCACAAAAGAGTATGTGCACTTTTCCCTGTCTTTGAAGTTGAAATAAAAATATTGAAATAGTTTTAACTCGTCTGTCCTGTTACTGATCTAACAGAAAAACCGCCAAATCACGGAAAAATGCAGCGAACAGCAAACCGAACAGTGCCGGATCTAATGCATCAACCAAACCAAATCATGACGTTCAGCCACAATGTCTTAACTCTGAATCAAAGGCCAGAGGAAGAAAGGTATGAAGAAATGGGAATCCTAGAAGTCTGCTATTCTTCTGTGTGAGGCATTGGTATGATCTCAGTACGTCTGTTTTGTTTTCCACATTTCATAGGTCGAAGAAAACCACTTGAACCGACAAAAACCCTGTAATGCTGCAGTGGAAAAAGTGCTTCCTGACCCACACTTGCCCCCTAAATCTCCAAGTCGGGACATTCTTAACTCAACAGGTCCATCTACAGCAACCATTAGCAATATAGACATTGAAATCCAATCCCAGGAACAAAAACAGAGAAAAGCCAAAAAACCCAGCAGCCATCAGAACCACAAGCCGCCATCTGTGAGCAAGAGGAGAGAGAAAGAGGAGAAAGAAGATCCTGGTCCTGCTCAGACACACCCTCTGAAACAAGCATTAGGTGTCAGCAGAGCGGAGGATAAGATATCAGCGAATGGACTGATATCTCCAAACTCAACTACACCCAAGCCTGCAGATCGAACCAAGATGCTAAGCAAGAATCAGGCTCTTAATGCAAGTATGGACCTTGAAGACGACACTATGAAGCTTCTGCATGAGGCAGGGATGGAGGACATCCCACACGAGCCTATGGAACAACATCACAATGCTGAGACAAAGTCGGAGACTGTTGATGATGATCTTAGCAACGCTTGTGTCCTAAAGGATGTTCCCACTGGAAGTTCAACTGAGGAGAGTGAGGTAAGTTACTGTGATGGAAGTATGGAACTGTGATCGAAACTTTTGATATGTTTGCCTAATTTCTAATTATTCCAACATTGATGGGCATCAAAATATATTACGAATTGTGCTAAAATAAAGATTCAGTGTTAAAGGGGTCATATGATGCGATTTCAATTTTTCCTTTCTCTTTGGAGTGTTACAAGCTCTTGGTGCATAAAGAAGATCAAAATAGGATTTTTACCTTTACTCAACCTTGTGCCATTCCCTTATGACTTACTTTCTTCTGTGGAACATAAAAGAAGATACTTTGAGAAATATCTTAGTGGGGTTTGTCCATAAAGTGGTAGTTAAAATGTCATCAAAACTGTTTAGTAATCAGCATTCGTTGAAACATCTCCTTTTGCATTCCAAATAAGAAAGAAACTCATGGGTTTGGAACCACAACATTTAATGTCTGTATTTTTTGATTGATTGTGCTTTTCTTTACTCTGAAGACAATGTGTTTGTTGTCCTTCATATTCCAGGGAAGTTTAGACTCCACAGAGAAACTACTCAAGCCTGTTCCTGTAATTGTAATGGTAAAATACTGGTATTTATTTTATTTTTATTGTTTGCTTTTGGCAAGGTTTTTAAATTGTTGTTGCTGTATATTAACTAAATATTTTTAATTTATATTTTTATTATAAATATTTACAGGTGCATCTCAATAAATTAGAATGTCGTGGAAAAGTTCATTTTTTAAAGAAAATGTAAACCAATTTAAACATTTATAATAACATTTTAGGAGCCTTCCAGTTCAGAGTCCACTTCAGCTCTCTTAGATCAAAGCAGACCAGTTCTTCAGCCCTCTTCCTCTGAACCATCCATGTCACGTCAGCACAGGCAGAAGAAGAAAGACAAGTCCCTCGATGACCAGAACAGCCATCAAGTGAGCAGTGTGGACATTGCACAGTTTTTATTTATTTTTTTTGCTCTTGTATTTTAGTACTCAGTGATAACTAAAATATTAAATCATGTTTTTTTTATCAAACACTTTACATGAACCAGAATTAATTCAGATTTCATTACTGTTGTCTTTCGCTCTCACTAAAACATTTGTATGTTTAGGTCAAAGCAGTGCCCAGACCTCTGCCACCTCTTCCAGAAGATGTCCTATCAGTAAACAATGAACAGAAAGGCCACAGACCTGCCAATTTCTCGTCCTCTACCAAGAACTGTCCAGAGCAGCAGGTGAAACATTACGGACTGTACAGACTATATTAAACAGCTGCACACAGCATATCCGTATAAAAATGCATGTCAGATACATACATGCATGTAGTAATCTGATGCTGCTGCTGCTGTTGTTAACAGAACTCACTTTACTTACAGAACCGTCCACTGTCAGCCAGGGAAAGGAGAAGACTGAAGCAATTACAGGAGAACTCCAGACAACAAGGTTTGTGGATTTCTCTGAATGCCATTAAAGTGAATTTTGAAATGTTTAAAATACAACAGCGTGAATGGAAATGGACCAGAGCAAGATCTGAACACACTTTTAGGGTCAAGAACAATGACCAAGTTAACATGGTCATTACATGGCCATAATAAAAATATTTTTAAAAAAATGTGTACATTGAAATAAAGCTGAAATTAAATATTAGATGAGAAACTAAAACTAAATGATATTTAGAAATGTTGCATTTGCAACTGTCTTAAGTACGTTTACATTGAAGCACGAAACTACTAACTGGTAATAAATAAAACCAAAACTGAAAACTAACTAAAGCTGAAACTGAAATAAAAATAAATTAAACATAAGCAGTAACATGAAAAATAAAAAGTATTAATAAAAATGACAAAATCACATTGCAAAATTACAATTAAACAAAAATTTTAATGAAAACAATAAAAGCTAATTCAAATTATTAATAAAAAACTATGTTATATAAATAATACTACACCGCTTTATTTCTGTATTCATGTAATTGGAATACACATTCTGAATAAATTTAGACATGCACAGTATGACCATGTTCTAATATTGCACTATTCTTTGGCATATACTCACAGTCAATATGCAGGCTAGATTTTAAACCGTTCACTTTTTAGTCCATTTAAAAGGGGTCTGACTGTCATTCTGTTAAAGCGGCCTCAAGAGCGATAACACCCTTAAGAACATCAATTCAGATGAAAGGAGATTTTGTACAGCTTCATTGAATATGATTTCTTAGTTTCTTTTCTTTGAAGCTGTGTCCGCTGTCAAAAGGGAGCCTTGTGATGTCCCCTCATTAGACAGTAAGCAGACAGACCATCTAGACTGCCCAAGACCTGCCAGCACAACTTTGGAAACAAGAAAGGTATGTCTGATCTTTCTCGATGACTCAGGGCGCACTGTCAAACACTATACATTCTTTTGTGTTCTGCAGAAGAGTCACTCAGATTTGGAATCGCATGAGGGTGGGTAAATGGTGAGAGAAATTTCATATTTGGGTGAACTATCCCTTTTAATAAATAAACCAGACCATCTCAACACGGTGAACCTTAAGATAGGCTCTATGGAACCATTTGAAGCAGATGCTATCTAACATAACCTCAGCTACTTGGTCAAAAGGGATCTTACCTGAACTATTTTGGTTCCCTTTGTGTATCAGGAGAGGAAGTGCTCATGGAGACAGTCTGACGAAGACGATTGTAGTTCCTCCACCAGCTCCACTGAACGTTCAGAGGGCGACTACAGAGAACGGTAAGACCTCCCACTAATTTGTACTCTAATGAGACATAACTGGCCGCATTTATGCATGTAAAAATTCTGAAGTGAGCCAGAATTCGGTCATATTCTGATTATGCGTCTGTCATGTAAATCTGTTAACCATCTTGCCAATATTCTGGTTTTTAGAAATCTGAATAAGACGGCTGGCATTTGTTCTTTGCATTGTTTCTGAAATTGCTTTTTTTACAGAAAGTTTGAGACCAATGAGATGCAAGACTTGGTCCAAATGATGACGCAAACGTTACACATGGATGCCAGAGATGTATCATTTGAGCCAGATGGGTCGAGATGCCACTCCACTCCACTGCCTGAGTTCAAACTAAACAGGAAGTACAGGGACACCCTGATGCTTCATGGGAAATCCAGAGAGGGACAGGGAGATTACCAAATCAGTGGCTTCCCGTTAGGTAACAACTCACATTGTTTTACGTTTTTTGTTTTCCTGGAACATTTACCCATCTGCAAATGAAACTGTTCAAATATTTTGAGTAAATGTGAATTTAAGCGATTTTTTTTTCGGTGACAGAATTTATCACCATGTTCCTCATTTTGTGTTTTTAGACGACAGCACGGGTCCAGCAAAGGTCAGGAGAGTGATCGAGCACTTGCGTACAGATGTGGTTAAAGGACTCGGGGTGAAGCTATTGGACAGAGTCCTGGACATCATGCAGGAAGAGGATGAAGAGAAGAGAGAGGCAAGTTAACTAAAGTCTCATTGTACAGGTGCATCTCAATAAATTAGAATGTCATGGAAAAGTTCAATTACTGAAATAAATGAACTTTTCCACGACATTCTAATTTATTGAGATGCACCTGTATATTAGAAATAAACATAACAGTCTATACTAATAGGCTGTTGATTAGAACTTTTCAGTACCAGACAATGGGTCTCATTCACTAAAAATGTGTGAAATCTGTGCATGTACAAATCATCATTCAATAACTTTTGTATTGCAATTTATTGTTAATTCATGATGTTTGTTTCAACCTCAAATTTTTAAAGTATGCAAAAAATAACTTATTTTTTTCATGAGAAGTTCTCCTGTGCACATACAGTAAATAAAATATTCTATACTATTATTAGTACACGAGACCCATTGATTTTAGAGTAAAGTGAGTTTTATTTTAATGGAACAAAAATAATGAAAACATTTTTTAGAATTAAATGGCAGTTAGGCTAACAGATTTCTATTCTGTTTTTTTTATATATCCAGCACCTACTGCAAGAGCTAATGGGGGAGGAAAAATACAAGCAGTATGCACTGAAAGTCCAACAGCTGAAGTTCTTTGAGGACGTTGCATTCAAGGACTGAGCCAGATGCACACGAGGGATCCCTTATCAAACACTGATATGCCATTACTGCTGGTGGGCAGCAGACTTTTGTGCTCTTAAACACTCCACTGAAGCCTCTTATCAACAATCACTGTTACTTTTTTAATGTTTTTGTAAATGTGATAGAAGTGAGTTGAACGTAGATATGCAAAAAAAAAATGCTGTTATTATGCACCTTTAAATTTCACAAAAGCATTATTTTCAGACATCATCTTTCTTTTAGAAATGTGAACCTATGCTATGTAGATAGCAATCTTGAATCACAAAAGAGATGTTAAAAATAGTTGACTTTTTTTCTAAACTGTATATTTATATTACGATATAATATAAATCGATAAGGAATGATTTATAATAAATGACACTTTTAGGAACCTCGTTGTCTTTTGCTAACAACCCAAACTCAAACAAAACCAAAAAAAAGGCCAAACAAAAGTACCAAACGCAGATCTTTATTACATATTGAATGTTCAAATAGTGACAAAAATGAATAGGTTTGTTTCTGTTGGATATCTATATGGCTTTGCTGTGCCAAATCCAAACTAAAATACTGCCGTGCATCACTTGTGCTTCTTCTTCTTCTGAATCTCTTGAGGTTTGTCACGATTTTCTCCAGATGTCTCGGGCATAGCCGGCTGCCAGTTCAAAGGATTTTTTCTGTACACTGGCCAGGGAGGCAGGGTGAGCTGAAGAACAGGACACAGCCAGAATTACACTTTTTTTCCTTCTTTTTTTTCTTTCACTTTTAACTTCAAATGAAGCAAAGAGTATTCTTATGACATACCAAACATGATATTGTGAATCCAGCCAACATTATGTAAACTGTCCACCCAAACTGCTGAATAGTAAAGCCATATATGAAGCCGATCACCTGCAGGGAAAGCAGACATGAGGCAGAGCAGAAATGACATTATGTTGTTGTGATGGCTGTGAGAGTAAAAGTGCTGCCAGTGTTACTTACCGCCGACAGCAGAATGACTCCTTGGAAAATTTGCTCTGCAAGTTTCTGTCCTTTATAGTCCTGCAAACAGTCATTGTAAACATGAATATTCATGTTGCCTTAGGTTGAGCGATAAATTGTACACGTTGATCTAAGATAATTTATTCTCATTCCGTTTTCTTATTGATATTAGAAACTTCAGAGCTGTGAAGACCATGCATAAGATGAGAAGACATTTTTTTCTTGGTGTAGGTTTTGCAAGAAATACTAAACAATAAGGTAATGCTACCTTTTAGGAGTCATTAATGCATCATTTGCAAACTTTACAAATTTCTGATTTTAAAGTGTAAAATACTAGGTCACATTTCAACCGCATAAAGTAACTGCCTCAACACCCAATATATGTTATAGATTACGTCATAAATATATTTGATAAGAAATATTGTATCATACTTGTTACATTCACAATTCTTGTCAATCACTTGACTCCCACGCTCGGAGTGCACACTTGTTTCAAACACTTTGGTTCTGATACCAGCACTAACTATTTGGTGTTACTGTGTTGATTACTGTAGCAAAATATTACTAACAGATTTTATATAGTTGAAATGAACAGGTCCGTCGCTAATGCGTTAGCTGCTAACATGTCAGTATATCGAAGCTCTAAACACCACCGCACTCGCATTATAAACACATGCACGCAGATGAATAATAATTTATCGCAAACATAGGCTTACCATGTGTGTCGGAATGGATTTAAACGCTGAAAGCATTTTGAAATGACAAAATAAAGCTGCTTGACAATATTATTGAGAAGAGAGTGATGGTTTCCTGTTTGAAAGTGTGTACGTAGAGTTCCGCAGGACCCCTCACAAAAACATCAGCGGGGCTAAAATGCGTGCTATCTGCGCAGTCCAGTGGAAAATACGTTTTGTGACTGAAAATGATATCTCTCGGTGCAATTGTTGCTTACATAATAAGATAATACGCACTCAAAGCAGTAGCTGTGCTATTATAAATTAAAATAAATGTATGTTTTTAACCAGGCAGTAATCTAGACGCCCACGTCAGACCACTTATGGGCGTGGCCGCTGAAATGATCAGATCTGTAACTCATAGGGAACCACTCACTCGCTCACACATAAGCAGGAATGATTCAGGACAGACTCAAGGATTTTGATTCATCTCAGTTATGCGAATCTTTTGTATCTTTTCACTCTTTTTCTCATTGGTTCGTTTTAGTCTGTGACCCTTTCTGCAGGTTACATCGTTACGCTAGTAGGACAAGCGAACTTTTTGAGTTACGAGTCAATGAATCATTCACTCATTTTTTTTTTAATTCACCGAATCATGAACGAGACGTGTCTTGTTATCATATTTTCATTCCGTCTTCTTCACTGCATGGTAAAGGTTTTTACACTGACAAAGCATTTGCGCACAATAAAAAATAAAAGTTTGATAAAATAATAACATTGAGAAAGGAAGCACTCAGTGAAGCTCCGAGTCACATTCAAGACTCCAAACAAGCGACTCGTTCTGTGAAGGGGCGGTTCGATTGGTAGGTCAAGCCAATGAAATGCTCCTTCAAAGACCACACTCGAATTCTATTGGCTCTTGCAGCTGTCAGTCTTTGGAAGTAGAAAAGCAGACGAGTCAATACATGAAAGTTTACAAGATATCAAAAGATTCACTCGCTGCTGTTGTGTGCTATCAGTATAGCATATGTATCAGTAAAGGTCTTGTCGGCTGTGCCGTGTTCTCTGCAGGACTGAAGGGTAGCTGGACTTGTTGATGTTGAGTTGGCGTTTTGGATGAAGAGCCGAAGAGAGTCCAGACATTATAACGAAAAAGGTTTGTACACCGGCAGTTTTTATTCTTTTGTGTTGTTAACAGTTTTGGAGTTGCTTTTTGTTTGTATGTGCAGGATTTTTTTTTCCTTTTGTGATTTCGGTCTCAAACTGTTTCTGTTATATTCCGCTTAGCCCTCAGTTAAATACACATTCATGGTGTTTTCTATGCTGTTTTACTAATGTTACTGTTTGTTTTGATGTAGAATTTAAACTCAAGTGCTGTTGATAGAGTGCCATGACTGTACGCAGAGGTGAATATTTTATACGAGTTAAACATACACACACACACACACACAAGCTCAAAAATTAAAATTCATCATTTACTCACCCTCCACTTGTTCCAAACCCGTGAGTTTCTTTCTTCTGCTGAGCACAAAAGAGGATATATTCTAGAATAAAGTTGTTAACCAAACCAGCCATTGACTACCATAGTATTTATACATAAATAATTTTCTTCTGCTCACCAAGCCTGCATTTATTTGATCCAAAATACAGCAAAAGCAATAATATTGTGAAATAGTTTTACTATTTAAAAGAACTGATTTCTATTTGAATATATTTGAAAATGATTTGCTGCTAAACAAAAAACATTTATTATTATTATGTTGAAAATAGCTGAGTATATATTTTTTTCAGATTTTTTTGATGAATAGAAAGTTCAGAAGAACAGCATTTCTCAAATAGAAATCTTTTGTAATATTATAAATGTCTTTATCATCACTTTTTATCGATTTATTGCATCCTTGCTAGTTAAAAGTATTCATTTCTATAATAAGGATCATGTGACACTGAAGACTGGAGTAATGATGCTGAAAATTCAGCTTTGAAATCACAGGAATAAATTACATTTAAAAATACATTCAAATAGAAAGCAGTTATTTTAAATAGTAAAAATATTTCACAATATTACTACTTTTGCTGTACTTTGGATCAAATAAATGCAGGCTTGGTGAGCAGAAGAGACTTCTATATATATATATATATATATATATATATTTAAAAATAATATAATTTATTTTCTGCCATTCCATGGAAGTCAATGGCTGCTGTAAACTCTAGAAACTCATACAGGTTTGGAACAAATGGAGGGTGAGTAAATGATGACAGAATTTTCATTTTGTGGGTGAACTACCCATTTAAATATTTGACATCTTCTCTTTTCCAGTGAATGTGGTTATTCTTGTGCTGCTTGTCATCGCCTTTTTAATTATATTGCATCGAAATCTGCTGAATCTCAATGATTTCCTCAAGCAAGAGAATTCAGGTATGAATATGCTCATGTTAGTGACGTTCAGAAGTTTTTTAGCACCATGAAAAGTAGAGATGCACCGATCGACCAGGGATCGGAATCGGCCGATTTTCCTCATGATCGGTTATCGGCCGGTCAGTCTCACTTCTTTCCGATTTCGAGCCGATCCGTTTTGTTACCAGC